CCTGCAGTGCCGCTCTCGCAGGAGAAAATACAGACAGGATCTTCATGGCCACTGTTCTTATTGTCGGTGACATCCAAGCGGTCATTAAACTCAGTATACAGGGATGAACGTTTGTGTAGAAGACTCGCATTGCTTCTAAAGGCAACTCTGCATCCCAAATAGCAACAGCAAAGGCAATAGTATAGCAATATCAAAATAACTAAGTGGTAGTAGCAACAACAATAGGCAAAATATAGCTATGCCATAGTAAACGCAATAGCAAAAGCAATTTAGCAATAGCTAGTTGCGATGGCAATATCAATCGTAAACGAAATAAGTGTAGCAGTAACATCAGCAACAGCAACAGCAACAGAAACAGCGTGGGTAATAGCAATGACATAGGCATACCAGCTAATTGCGAGGACAATAGCATTAGCAGTAGCGCTAATGACAAATCTAGCATAGGCCCCTATGCAGTAGAAGTGTAGCAGTAGCAATACCTACAGGGTTCGAAATTAGCGGTAGCCCGCTAGCCCATAGAGCACTATGAGCTCTATGGCTAGCCTAATGCTAGTCAAAACAGCAGCGGGATAGTCAAAATATTCCTTAAGTAGCCCAGCTGGCGAGTGAACAATTATTGGGATACGGCAAAGATGAACGTCACAGGCAGAAATAAATCATAAAATTCAGAAAGAAAACCCCATCAATTTGTGTCTGATTTTATCAATTGTTTTTAAAGGTAAAATTATTTGATCCGTTTATTAAAAACACTGACAAAATTGCCTCACAATTGAGCTTGAAAATACGCCATTTTGTATTTGAGATAGGAAAAAAAATGCTGGCTAGTGAAAATGCCCGCAGGCTAGTTAAGAGTCTGTTTCAGTAGCCCGGCTGGCTAGTGAACAAAAAATTTAAGGTCGAACCCTGGATACCTATCGAAGTTGATACTTGAGGTAGTCAGTCATCCTATATTAAAAGATCCTACGCTGTCTGTCTGTCTGTCTGTCTGATGTCTGTGTGTCACGTTTTTTTGGGGAAAGACCTAAAGAGTGTCCTCAAGCACAAAATGCAATGGTTAGATGGAGAGGCTTTGGTATTGTGTGCAGGCCCTTAAATGGTATATAATGCTCAAATTCCACTGTCCTCTAAAGTCACGGTTGGCACGAGAAAAACATGATTTATATTATTTTGATTTGCTTGTTTGGCACTTTAAACCTTATCGCTATTTACGCAAAACATAACGTTGATGATGAAAAATGTAATGGAGTAAAATTGCTTCCGGCCAAGGCTAACCACGCCCACTTGGGGTCAACATTCATACATTATTCAGGTCAAAGTAAAAATTAGCTGGCAAGTCATCAAAACAAACTAAGTTGGTTTGAGTGTCCTTTTCAAATTAGCAACCACTTCAGCAGTGACTAAAATAGCGCAAATTCTTCTATTTCATGTTACCTTCCATTATCATAACATCATCATTATCATAACATCAATTAACCTTGGTTTTGGCTAATGGAGCGCCGTCGCTAATAAGGTGAACCTAAACTTGATTAGTTTTGTCGATTAGATTGCCTGATGTCCAATCTTGCAATGGCGGTCTCAGATGGTAAATAAACGTAATGGCCAATTAACATCATGTGTTCATTTGCAAGGACGCAATTAACGCTGGACATTGGGTCTCAGGCTCCGGCAGTAAAAGTATAGTGTTTGTTGCAAAACGACTGGTTAGTTCAGGTTGGCGTTGCATGAAGAGACCGGTGACAGTTTCTCAGGATTGTTTCACAGGATCGCAAGCTGGATTTGACACGTCTACACTTAAGACTGGTGTAAACTTGGGAATTACCATGGTGTAAACTTGGGAATTACCATGGTGTAAACTTGGGAATTACCAGCTCACACTTTGCAACTAGAAATGAACAAACTACTGAATTAACCGAATTACTGAGACACTTACATTTTAGCTCGGTAGGATTGAAGACGACAAGCTGCTGGAATTGTATGCTAGTTTGACTCTGAACTTATTGTCTTCTCTAATTCTGCAAACGTTCTGGAGTAAACACCTGTGTCAGAGAATCCGTTTTTGTCGGATTGGTTTTTCTTCAGTTGTGTGTTGGATATGCAGTGGTCACAATGCAACGACTGATGATGAACGACCACTAAAGATGTTGCGTTTTGGTTTGAAAGAACGTCCGCCTTATCTAGTGTTTTCGAATGATTAATCTTCAAGGAATTGATTTTGCCTCAGCAGAAGCATCTGATGAAGTTGGAGGGTTATATAAACAGGAAGTTATACCAAGCATGATGACAAGTGCCTGTGCAAAATTAGTAATAAACAGAAACACCAAGATTACAAGGATCGTGTGCTGCATATTGCCTTTGGATGGACCCAACACGACTACCTCGTCACAGCCGTCCCTGGTGAAGTCTTTTCTCACCTTGTCAATCCCGATTCAAAGCTGAGGATCTGCAAATACTATTTTGGACAGTCAGGATCCATTATCTCTAGCAAGATAGCTTAAGCAGGCTTTACCGCATTTTGTCACGTCGGTTTATCGGGAAAACCGTCTTCTTGAAAGAGACCGTAATCTTTGAGATCCGGGACGTAAATACTTTTCCTAGTGGCCATCGCGTGATATCCTTCTGAATGAGACAATTGTAAAATCCTGGTGTTTACGAAAGACTTTAGGTATGGAATCAAAAGATATCCAATTTTGATTAACGCTTGAGGAACAGAAAACAACCTTAAGTTAAGGTGCTCGTCATTCCAGACGCCTGCCTTAACCATCAAATTTAACCCTCACAGAAAAACAAGACATCGCTATCGACGTAGCCGATCAACCGGCAGAAAATGACCACGTACTCATAACTGAACCCTTACTAATCCAAGACATCTGCAGCTCTCAAAAGCTCCCAAGGGAACGTTTAATGGCCGTGTTATCCGTTGTTAAACCCCGGCGCTAAACTGCCATCTGGACGTTTTCGCGCCGATTTTATGGCGCGTGCGTCATGCCTGCGAATAACCTTTTGTATGTTTTTGAAATGAGTAAAGTATACTCTTAAATTTGGCCTTAAGTGAATACAACAAATGCATTGGAGCAATTCTATCAATTCCCGAAGGTCGTTAGAGATGCGCATGCAGTTTACGGCTGGAGATGCGTGAGCAAGACGCAGGAAACTATAAACAATGACTCATAAGTCTTTCTCTTGAAAGAGACATTCAATAGATACAACAAGCTGATTAATTCCCAACCACTTTCACTGTCTTCATTGCTTGAGTGCTGTGATTACTCAGTAAGTGTCATCGGAAACTGCTCTAGCTTACTAAAAGCACAGCCAGCTTCACGGGATGCCCAATTGTGTTTGTAGGGCAGAATAACGCGACTGAGTTATTCAGTCGCGTCAGGTACGTAGGTCATTGCACCCGGCGGACGCGGGCAGTGTCGGACCCAGCGTCCCGCCGCGCCCGGTCGTGGTGCCACGGAGCCAGCCCAGCTCACATTGAACGATTGGATGATGAGAACCGATAAATATTTCACAAGCCCAAATCGCTTGGGATAATACTCGAAAGATGATATCAACGGCTAGATGACTGGTCAAGTACCAACGGTAAAGAAATTCTTCAACAACTTGAGAGACTAGAATATTAAAAACTCTGAAGGTGTCATGTTCCGTTTTGACAGAAATGACAGTTAGGTTTCTGGTTGTTCCAATTAGCGTTAGATTCTGTCAGCTTGAGCTACCTCGACCAATAAACCGAACTGCTACACAGAATACACATTGTTTTGAAAATAACACCAACACTCGAAATCCCATCAGTCTTCTGTAAAGTATTATATGCATGCTGAAGGCAATATATCATGCAGAACAGTGGATCGATAGGATTCTCAGAACTACTGTATTTCTGCATTACTATGTACTTTAACTTCAAGGAAATATTGTGGCTACCTCCCTGCTCTTATTACACTGATTGCAAACCTTTGCTCGTGGAGACGTCCTTAACGATTATACAGTTAACTGAAGCGTTCAACTGAACCCGAGTGTGTAATTTCTCATTTTGAAAACGATTACCGCTGCCTACACCTAGGATTTTGTGCTTGATAGCACCTCGGAGCGTAAGCAGACCGGAGTGTCCACTTCTACGAAGAAACTTTGGAGGAAAAAAAATGTTATCCCGACTTTTAGGTCTACAACTTGTTCTCTGTGTTGCGCTTTTCCGGTGCACTATGGGGAGCAAACACCAACATGACCAAGGTAGCTTAGACAAACCTGTTTTGAAAAAAACGAACAAAAACCAAACTTTTCACAATTTAAGAGATTGTTTCATTCGTTTCATCACACTGTTTTACGAGAGCTTAGGCGAGCCTTTATAGTTATCCACTCTAGCCAGTAGCGGGTCTAGGAGTGTTAAGTGGGTGGCTTGGGTGTTGAATTCAACGCAAACGGAGTCCAAAGGATGTAAGCAATGAACCGAAGCTGGAAAATATTATATGAAAGTTATCTGAAAGGAAGTTGAGATTCTTTTCCAGGAAAATATAAATCACTAACACAACGGACAGAAGCGTGTTGGGTGGTTACCCATCCGACCTTGCAATGGGCCCACTGAGTCTACCACTCTATACATCAAAAGTTTACCTTTGAAAGTGACCTGCTTTTGTAATATTTAATGCCAAGATGTTTTTTCACAAGACTTTCTTAACCTTAACACTCGAGTATACCGCCTCTTTGCATATAATAAGCCACGCCCACACATTAGGGAAAGCAACACCTAAAGTCTAAAAAGGATTTAAAGTTAATAAAAAAACATGAAACGCAAGCAAATTATATATTAACGACTACTGTGCAACCCCCTTTAAAATAAAATAGGCAAGATCCAAGGTTGGGGCCAAAATCTGAAAATTATTCAACCCTGTCCGTCCCTCATCACAATGCTTGTGTACCAAAAAGACTGCACAAATTGGGTCTGATGTTTGATGACGGGAAATTAATGTTTTGAGACACCAAAATGTTATTTCTTTGCAGTTGTGTACGGCGGGAACGAGCAGAAGCTGTACGAAGACCTGATGCGGAATTACAACAAGAAGGTCCGGCCCGTCTGGAATTCCTCCACCGTCATCAACGTCAGCCTGGCGCTCTCCGTGGTACAGATCCTGGAAATGGTAAGTTCGAATTCTTAAAAAAAAGGGGGTCTGATTTGACCCGGATTCCGGGTCCTATTCAACATGATTCTTTTCAGGTTCCAAATGAACTTGTCTGGGTCAGAATATCCTTTTTTGTCAAAATGACCAAGATAGTGATCTCCAAAAGTATCATTTTGACCCGGTCAAACTTCGAGTCAAATCCGACCCGCGGACGTGACTGAAAGCACGTATTCCCCAAAAGCGCCCAAGGCACTGCAGATCGCAAGCCTGAAAAAACCTGTAGAGAGAAGACAATGAGAAAAAAATTACAGTTTTAGAGGTGTATGGCAGGAAAACCACAGAAGAATATTCTTGGTAAAACCCACGGAATCAGGCAGTGACTGAAAACCCAATCCACATGTGGACCAGGCGGGATTCGTACCTGGTTCACAGTGGTGGAAGGCGAGGAAATTTAAGTACCGCTACGTCGAACTTACTCCCTTTCTTTCTGCAGACAGTAAAACGCAGGGCGTTGTCAAATCCTCGGCCACAATTCTAGCTCCATTCTCATGTCTTGCTGTTCTAGAATCATTGTGAAGACTTTATAATCAACTCAGCAATATCCAACATCTAAGCAAAATCCAAACTCTAGAGGATTTATTGCAAAAAGACACGTATAATTTAATTGTAGTTGACCAAGTCGGAGACCTACAGTAAATCATGAAGCATGAAGCCAAAGCTTAAATCAAACCCGAGGTTTAGAAAAGACCCAATGGTGATCGAACGTCAATGGGGTGTTAATGCGCTGCAGGTACCGTCGAGTACCGTCTAGTACCATCTAGGCTTGCTCTCTATAGATCAGGTGCTCTGTGACGTCATGCGGACAGGCAGTTGCCGGCAAACCAAACATTGAAGCATCTTTTGCTTGTTATTTGGCGCACGTTAAACAGTAATGTGTCAACACTTTTAGGCCACTCATATTTCAAGAGAGATATACATGCAGACTGATGCAGTGCGGAAGAGAACCGTTTACTTTACGATGCACCACGTGACCCCAACATCCAATTGTGTTAACAAATGTCACGTGGTCTATAGCCCTCCCATTTTCCCTCCCCTTTCTACTGATGTGGGCGCGTTTTTTAATTTCTTTTAAAACAACAATTATGGTGAAATAGTGAAATTCATCTAGACTAGCTTTTGGTTACCGCTGGATTACTATGATTGTTTTCTCATATAATAATATAAAAAAAAAAACACTGGTCTGGAAAACTTTAATGGGTGATAGAAAAGCTACGTTGACGATTATTTCACTCCTTGTTTGAATGGTTTGTCTCTTTATGTTACTTATTGTTTACCAAGGGTTGTCTCCTGTGATACTTCAAGTTGGCGCATGACCTCTCATTCTGCACTCTGAAAAATAGCTTGTCAAAAAAATGAGAGAATTATCATCATTCTGCACGTTTTCTCATTATAAATCGATAATATGTATGCAACTGCTCACGTACGGGATGTTGTGTTTTCTTTTCATGATTACACAAAGCACCAAGAATCATCCTAAAGACACTGCAAGTGTGGCGCACACGCCCCCTTGCCTCCGCCGAGGTAGCTTCTGTCTTTTGGCCGTTCCAATCATAATACATGTGCCGCTTATATATCCCCAGATATATGAAATGTCACGTACTTGCCTTGCCAGTGCCCGCCAGCGGTTTGTGCTCTCTCCTTAATGAAATGTGTGGACTCGAGGCCAAGACGGTGTACATGACAACACGGGGTCGAACAGCGAATCGACCTGCTGGATTTAAAGGGCGATTCTGGTTTTGCCACCGGATGCAGGTGCGTCTAGTCGTGGCCCGAAACGCTTCTTCCAATCTCCATTAATTCCATTCTGTTGCCCACATGTTTGATCTGCAACGCGCAATCGAAATCAATTTGTATAGTGGCTTGAATCAAGACCATTATTGCGGGCCACTGCAGAGCATGTAGAGTCGCGAGACGCTGACGTCACAGCGCCTTGTCTTATCAAAGGATTCTCAGCCAGGGTCGGACTTGGCTGTGTTCCAAGCTCGGCTAAGTCACGGGCTTTGAGTTTGTCTCTGGCCGCAGGATGGTTAGAAGCCGTTAATGTTCAAAGTAAACGAAGATATTACTCGAAACTTTATCTCAAATAATAGGATTTGATGTTCCTAAAGAAAAGACCTAGATTGAGCTGCAATCCCTCAAGTCAGAGACCTTACATTGTCTGGAACCATGGGTTGCTTGCTAGTGCTTCCCTAGAAGTAGTGTCTCTCGCAAGGTGTGGAGGGAGGCGATACGGTGACGTTACAAGGTCATTTCCATTAGGGACGAGGTTGATCGCAAGTCAAGCAACCGCCTCAACTCACGATATCCTACGACATTGGACATTTAGAGGAGAGAGCGTCATCGTACACTTTCATCATCGATTTGAATCCTCTACCTTTTTGCCCCGGTTCACCTGCGAACCGGCCCCTTCCCAAATTTCAATACACGAGCAACGACCTCAAGTTCGCCATTTTTTTTTTTACTGGATTCAGTAACCCAGAATAAAGCCCGTGCTAAACATGAGAAGTGAAGTATACATGTATGCATTTTGAAAAGGCACTGGGATGATCATTATACGGTTTTGAGTTGTCAGCTGCTACATTGATATTCTCAACGGACTGTTTCAGCTGTGGACTCAATGGTAATGTGAGAGGAATGTCGGTGCAAAAGAATGTAACATTGAAGCATTCTTGGAGATATTGTCTGTTTGAAGCAGCCTGTTTCAAAGAATTTCCTTGCAAACAGTGATCTTACACTCTGTGAGCACTTGCAGCCTTACACACGTTATGCTGGTGGGGAAGACATTTCTTTCCCTTTTTTGTTTTGTTTTCCTTTCTTCCTATCGAATTCCCAAACTCCATAGCGTTTCCCTTATGGGGTAGACTTCCTTATAGGGTCTATTGTTCTATTGTGTTTTCTACCCCATAAGGAACCTGTACATGTACTGAATACCGAGTTTGGAAGAATGCTTTGTTTTAACATAGAGCTAGGACCATGGTTTTAATATGAGTGTGCCAAGACTCTGACCTTTAGTCTGGCTGGGTTTTTTTAGAAGTAAGCACGTGACGCTAGTCTGCACTATCTGAGTATTGATGTGGCTGTTGAGAATGCCCGCACTTGATCTGGCTGGGTCTATAGGGTAGTAAAATGTGTCCCAACTTTGTTTGCCTTTCATGGCACAGTCAGCACTTATTAGCTGATCAGTGTCAGTCCGAACGCATTAGCTTATTAGTGTCACCAACTGTGATCATGGGAGGTATTGTAGGATGTTTTATGCAATGGGCCTACCAGAGGCACTGGCTTCTGGGGCAGACTGCTGCATAGCTGTAGAATGTAAAGTGAAATAATTCAGTTAATTAATTAGTGGATGATGGAATTGGGACAGAAATGTCACCTGTTCTCTCTCCTGCACATGAACTGTCAGGGTGAGAACTTTCAAGTCTCTGGGTGATCACATGACGGTGAAATGCATGGCCGAAAAGACAGAAAGAAAAGGGACTGGCCTCTCAATACATACAATCTTTCAATGGAAAATACTTTTAATGAACGGATGAACTATTTTATTCACGTTCGTGCCTTGCTTCATAAAAATGTTAATGCTCGGCGGTATTATTCAACCGGAGATTTGTGAGTGCAACTGTTGATGGAAAAAATTATAAGGGTGGAGCAGTTGGTATTTGACAAACTTTGGACAAGATTCACAAGAGGTGAACTGAGAACTCTGTGTCGGAGTTTGTGAACCATTCTTCCAACTTCTTTCTAACGCTCGAAACAACCTCCTGCTGGCAAAGCCATGGGCGAAAAGGGGCCAGAAGAAACGGCATTGAGTAACAGTAATATTGGGGGCCTTCCATTTGAGCTAGTTACACGTCTCGGCTAAGAAAGTCCCTTTAAGAATCTCCTGCGGGTTTGTTTGCAAACTCTGAGCGATCGAGAAGACAGACGTGGGGTGTGTAAGTGCGCGTCCAGGCAAGATGACGTTACCGTGAAACCGAGGACATGAGGCAGCCCGGGAACATCATAGGAATAATCGCAGACATATCGATCCATCTCTGATAATATGTTTCAATGGGACTTTACAGCTCGTGAAGTGAGTGTTTGTTTGGATAAAGTTAAGAGAGGAGAAAATACGGCGAGAAGCGTGCGTCAGGATTATCGATTTAAGGTCCGGCATCATCCTCCCGACCAGTCAAATGTTCGTTGACAATCTTGAGAGATTATAAGTCTCTTGGCAAATGAAAACAAGACATTCAAAACTCCTTTCTTTTAGCTTGTCTCAGGAGTTAACATATCGACGAGATGTTGTATCTACGAAATCTGTTTTATTTTTTTCAAACAACGAACGATTTTGTTTCCTTCTAACGTATAGAGAATAGTCGAGATGATTGGCAGAAGAGTAAAGGTCGCAGGACTTCAACATTAACAGTGATGATCCCTCGATGCTATACTGGCAAGATGTTTCGCAACTTTGAAAATGACGACAGTGCTGACAAGTGTGTTATGGTTCCGAAGGGACGGTTGCAAAATCCTCGATATGAACTTGCGCACGTGTCGTTTTTCCTCTGAGGAAAAGAGGACTATACTTTTCATCGCGTTACCTTTCCGTCAAATCGAAAATTGATCTGCGAATGGTCTATGTCGTTTTGCAAGATTTAGCTTGCCACTTCTTTCGCCCGTTGTTCACGGGGGCAAAGCCCGGTAAACACCCTACACGTCCCGATGACAGACTGCAAAGCTATCTGGTGAAGACATGAAACACGTACCCGCCATACGTCGAGCAGGAACATTGTAGATAAAAAAAAAATGCTGGTTTTTTTTCTCCAGCCATTTCGGTCTGTTCCTCACTCTGCAGTGGTGTATAATAATCTAGCCATCAGCGGGAGTAAATTAGACGCGGAGGTGCGAAGACGTGTGCCCATGGTAACCGAGTCTGTCGGCGAGATTGCGGAGATTTTCTTCGGATCCCGCCAAATTTGCGA